CACATCAAACACAAAATAATTCTACACATGGAATGAATTTTCATTGGCGTAGACGTTGAAATCTGCCATCAGCAGCAATGATAAGGCGGCTTATTAGAAGGAACTCAAGGGTATATATATCGTAGAATAATGGAGCTACGTAAAATCCGAGCAGATATTTTAGTGGGAATTGGACGTTTAATCAAAACTGTATGTATAGCACAAACTTTATCAAGGCAGTGAATGAGCACGCCAAAAGTTTAATAAACCATCATATTCGGGTGCTCAAACTTAAGCCAGAAGAATGATAAGCTACAGACTACGATATTTGACAGTGAGTAAATAAAAACGAAGTTCATGACTGATCTGCATTTACCTGCCAAGGCATGAGCTAGGACGTGGACTTCATAATGTCCAGTAGAGATGTGATCGCCAACTACATAATGTTCTCGTAAAATTTCTGATAGAGTTTTGAAATTTCTGATAGAGTTTGTAAATTTATCTATTTTAAAGACAAATTTTGAAAAATTTTTGTAAAAATTTGTATCTCAAAGTAAGTTAAGTTTTTGTCTAATAAAAGCAAAAAAATTCACTGCGTAAATTAAATATCTCAAAGTAATTCATTCACATCTCAAAATAAAATAAAATGCTCAAATGTGAATAGTTAATGAGTAAAAGTGTAAAATGCAAATAAGTTATTCACTTCATTTAAATGCCATTTTCAATTTTCTCGGAACCGAAAACTGCAAATTTCAGTAACAAACTGGTTACATCTTTATACAGACGATGATACCTTTTAAGCACCTGTTAATATGTTTCAAATATCTTACTTGCAGGAAGTAGCAGACTAAATTTATTTCATTTTCAGTTAATTAGTAGACATAATTCACGATTCCAGAGAAAGAAACTGTTAACGACATGATGTACACAAAGAATGGGACTTGCAACTTCGTAACACGGGAAAACTTTGGCGTCCAACCTAGCTATACAGAGGTTGGTGACCACAATGTGGCGCGTGGGGTGTACTGCACACGTCGTTAACGTACGTGGCCGTGCGCTGCTTGTCTGTACCATCCAACCTTGCCAAGGATGAGGAGGACTGGGACTGACTGGCTGCACTGTTGTGTGTTTGCCCCAATTTGCCTAGAACCGCTGCTGATGCCATGCCGAATATGACTGATGTGCATTGCTGCTATGTTCTCTCGCTTGTATTGGGTGCTTACGACCGGTGTTCCCCTGCAGTTCTTTTGCACCGACTGCTAGTGGTACTAACCTGCCTCTTAGGTCTCAACCGAGCAGCCCGCGAGAATCTCGCAGGGATCGGGAGTACCATTTTTCTCGCCACTGTGTCCGGAGATCTGCTACTGTTATGGGCCTATGCGGGCTGTGATACGGCGATCGATCCAAGACCGTAGATATTGGACGCGCCAGTTCTGGGAAATTTTTTTTGTATTATAATATTATCAAATTATTTGCCATAAATTTTAAGTGGTGCTGCAAAATTTTTTTGTTGTCTTTTCTCTATATTCTTTCTCTATTGTCTATATCATTCTCTGTTGTAGTGTTATATCTTTCAAAGAGATTTTCAAATGCAAAAGTGTAAACATTGCTTATTAGCAGCTGCTAGATGGTGGACTTCAGTCCATTTTATCATCCAACAATTTATATGACATATTCGGGTCAATCAATGTATTTCATATGTCTGTTAATAAGGTAGAAGTAGGTACCTCTTTACTTTTGATGTCAGTTGACTTCTATGTTTATCACGTGGTAACATGCAAACGTCGATGGGAGGAAGCAAACATGCAGTGAGACATCGAGAAACCTCGAATTTTTGAAGGTAAGAATGGGATTTGTATAACTTACCACCTCATCTTTTTTCTCTATCAGTGATATCAGCAGAATCTGCATTGATATTGATAGTTAGGAGTAGTAATACCTACTAAAGATCATCAAAAGTTATCTATGTGCAACTTATCCGTTGCTGACGTGAGACGTGCGAAATAACAGGTTTTACTCGTTTTATTTTTTTATCGTTTTTTCAGTCCGACGTAATCTAAAATCCAAATTATGCTTGATTTGTAGCCAAAAACGTTGTTTCAGTCCATTTGACTTGAAATATTGTTATTTATCGGTGTGAAGTAGAACAAAAATTTAAATGATTGACTTAATTATTGTTCAATTAAAGCAGTAATTTATTTATCTCCCACGGCTTTTCGACTTTTCAATCAGTTCATTGCAGATTAATTTTTCATTGCTATTCTTACTTTATAAAATTGCTTTCTTAATGCTTAATTATTATCATAAAGATTATTTTGTGTTAGTACGACTTACTTTTATGCAAAGACAGAAGGATTTTTCGAAAGGTCAGAGTGCGAGATTGCCGTGAAGAAATTGCAGTTTAGAATGAAAAGTAGTGCAGAAGATGCAGTAATGGCAGTAATTATCTCAAAATCTAGAAAATTAAATAAAATCGTAGCTGCACCTATGTCAGCTTATGTTTTGATGGAAGTGTTTTTTTCCTAATTTAATATAAATGATTATTACTGAACTACTATACGGTTTCAATGGTTTCAGCAGAACGATGAGTGGGCTGATCTTTACCCTTCGCGTTTCTATCATTGTCATGAAAGGTGAACTAATTGATAACACTGATAAGGCAAATTAATGATTATCAGTCTGGAGCATGTGATGTTTTATATGGTTCAGAAATTTTTTTTTGAGCCTGGTTCCTTCAGCACTGCGGTTCAAAATTGGAGTTGCAACGAGGATGCAAATCCTTTAAGTTATTTTCCTTTTATGGCGATAAGCCATGGTTTGGTCTTCGTTTACTCACTTGCTTATTTTATTTGCCTTGTTGATTTTTGCTTTTTACAACTTTAATTTTCTCACATTTTATGATTTTTACCTTGTAATTTTCTACTTTTCTCCTCCTTTTTGTTGCAATAATAACCGAATTCTTAGAAATTTTCATAACAATTTCTCTTATTCTTTTTTTGCATAAATGATAAGATAATG